TGTTTTGTTTTCTCCTTGGTAACTTTTCTTTGGGGGATTTTCTCCAAAATCTTCTATCAAGGAGGTTTGCCCTGCAGGCTGGGACCACACAGGAGCTGCCGGGAGTCTGGGCCGTGTGCCGTGGGGCATCTCCCTCCTTGGGACAACGAGGGGGCCCACGTCGCATTTGGAGGAGAGAAAGCACACTCAGGGCCCCGAGTGGGACGCCGGCTCCTCCTGGTTCAGCCTGGACTGCGCCTGGGGACACCACCTCCTGGTGGAGCCACGGTCCTCCAGGAGAACCGCCGCAACAAACCGGCAGCAGTGAAAACAGCTGTGGGACCAGCAGAAGGCGTACTGGCTACCCCGCTGGATGCCCACATGGCTGACCACATTTTGAGTCTCGAACCCGGTGGCTTGAAACTCACGCTGGCACGTGTGCATGCATCCCAAGAGAGGAATGGAGAAGGGATTGCGGCATGGCCATCCCCCCCTCCAGGAGGTGATTTCTTGCTTTCTGTCTCTCTCTCTCTCTCTCTGGTGAGCGCATGTATCCTACAACAAAAATCCCTCTTTAAAGAAAGAAAGAAAAGGATCGCAGGAGGCGGCCCCGATCCAGGGTGCCATCGTGTGTGCCAGGCAGTGTTCTCAATTAAACCTCGCCACTAAGGAGTGGACACTCTTAGCATCCCTCCTTTACACATGGGGAAACTGAGGCTCACTGAAGTTAGATTCCTTGCTTACATCACACAGTCATTGAGATGGGGAACAGGAGTTTGAAGCCACCCGCAGCCTCGGCCCTTAGCCACTAAGAACGTGCCAGCCCAGCCCGGCGGGGACTCCCGGTGCTGTTAGGCAGAGCACACGGCCTCTCACAGGGCCCCAGAGCCAGGGTTTCCCGGCCAGAGCACCCCAGCTGTTCTTCAGCTCTGTGTAAGCCGGGACTGTTCAGGTGGAGGGGACAGGAGGAGGGAGCTGGAGAACAGGCCAACCCGGGGCATCGCAATGCAGGGGACGGACTGGAATCACACCGGCGTGGGTCTGAGCCTGGCCCCTCGTTTGCCAGCTGTGTGGCTCTGGGCAAGCGGCTTGCCACTCTGCGCCTCCGTTTCCTCCTCAGCAAGCTGAGGAGCCTACGACTCTCCTGATAGGTCACGGTGGGGGTCAGGCTTGGGGCCAGGCCCCCCGCACACTGTCACACTGTCGGTGCACAAGGAGGAGCGGGGGCCTGGCTCTGAGCCCCAGTTCTTCCCGAGACATGCGGCCAGGACCTGCCCACTCAGCAGCCCTGGCTACAGTGGTCTTCAGACCCTCGCAGTGTCTCCAGTCTCCACGGGCAGCTTGCTGGGGACGGTCTCCATGGCAACACTCAGGACCACCTGTTGAAAGGATCAGGCGCTGCAGAAAATTGACCTGCTTGCCTCATTCCACAGCCTCTGCTGAGGTTTTGGGGGTGAGGCTGGCCTAGGTCTGGAACTCGATCCTGGTGGGCTGCCCTGCGGAGAGGGGAGGACGGGCCACCCGGCAGAGGCCCCTTCTCAGCCTGAGTGGCGGTAATGCCCCCTTAAGCAGTAGCCTTCAGAGCTGGAGCCTAACGAGGGCTGAGGGCTGTGTCTGCCCTCTTTGGGAGAGGGGCACCCCTGCAGTGAGGCGCTCAGCCCTGGCATTAGAGAACCAGGTGATGGGGGTGTGCGCCAGGTGGGCATGGGCCTCCCGAGGGAGACTGTGCTGGCTCTGCAGTCTGCCCCGCTGGCCTCTCCCTGCTGGCCTCTGGTCTCCTCCGAAGGGGGTACAGCGGGTCGAGGAAGTGGAGAGGAGAGCTGGGTAAGGAGCACGTCCCAGAGGCCCACGTGGGCTGAGGCGGAAGGGTAGGAAGAGAGGCGTCATCGGGGGCTCCAGGCCTCTCTGCCCGCCACACTTAGTGGGAGCCCCATCGGAGGGATTCTCGAGCTCTGCTTGGGTCTGGCCTTGTTCAGGCCGGTCTGTGTTCGCCTTTGCCTCTGTCTTGCCGTCTGTGAAATGGAGACCGTTATCGGTCGTTTTATAAGTCAAGGTTGCCGTGAGAAAGAGGGAGCACGTGATGCTGCAGTCGTGAGGTTTTTCATGCCCTTCGGTTCTGGTAATTCCCTTTAAAGGGCGCACGGCAGTCCATTTCATGCATGTGCCGAACTGACCAAGCCGTGCTCCGGCCACGTCGTTTACGTCCTTAACCTCCTGCTCCCGCTCCGTGCTGGCGTACCTTCATCATCAAAAGAATAAAACAGCCCGCGTGCCTTGTGGTTCTGGGTTTTGGGATGAATGTTTCAGAGGACTGGCCAAAGGGGCCCACCCTGCTGGGGCAGGACACGGTTTTACAGGGCTTCGTGATGGCGCCCTTGGACATGGTTGCTGTCCCCATGTACGGAGGAGGAAACAGGCTCAGCGAGGACTCCGCCTGAATAGCCACCGTCACTGGCTGGTTCCCAAATCCTTCCTGTGCAAACACCTTGTCTTTCCAACTCGGCTGAGCTCTTCCACGGGGAAACCGTGCCGTCCCGGTTTCTGCACCCTGCAGCCTCTCGCACTGGTATCTGATGTCGGCAAACAGACCCCCGCCTGTTGGGCTCAACACAGACTCGGGTCCTGCCTCTTAGCTGGGAAGCTCCCGATCCCACTGGTGAGGGGACTGGCTCGAGCCAGGTGGAGAATGCGCCCGGAGCTGAGTCCCAAGCCTGGGCATCTACACTGGCCATCTCACCACTTCTCTGTTTGCAGATGGTCGTGTTGAAGGAGTAGGTTGGGGTGCAACCCGAGAGAGTTTCAGACTGGCTGTTTCAGAAAAGAACATTTAGCTCAGCAAAAAAATAACCCTTTACATTGAAAAGGGCCCTTCTCACAGGTGAAGGTGTCCTCGGTGTGTAGACAGGCCCTCTCCAGTGGCCCTGTACCTGGGGCAGTCATCAGGGTCCTCAGAGAGATCCTGTTAGAGGAGCGCCAAGGAGAGCTGGCCTGTAGCACCACAACTAAGCCCAGTGCGAGCGAGCAAGATCCCACATGGCCGACTGCGGTTTGAATCCCGCCCTCGGGGCTTGACAAACACACTGGGAACGTGTCCATGTGTGCCCAAAATCCCGATGGGGAAGGAGAGTCGGAGAGAAAAGGGTCATGGTGTGACCACACCCCCTCAGGGGCTCTTCTCTAGCTCTCTCTCTGGCAAGTGCATGCACCTTCTGGCCAGGAAAAAGAAAAAAAAGAAGAGGAGGAAGAGGAGGAATGGGGACTGAGTTCTTTTAGCGGCTCCGAAGGCTCGGGAGCCAGACCCAGAGGCCGGGCAGAGAGTGCAAGGAGCTGACTGAATTCCTGGCTGGTCAGCCTGGACACCTGGGCCTGGTAGACAGCCCGGGACCCAAGGTCAGGTGGCCATGGATTCTTACCAGCTGGTGACCTGGGGAGGCACCGAGCCCCTGGGACCCACTCCCTCATCTATAAGACTCCCCAGTGTCCCGTGAGGTCGTAGGTGACACCTGGCGCCCGGAGTGTGTGGAACGAGAGGAGGCCGGGTGAGGACAGCACCCAGACCGTGCACCAGATGGTGCACTGCGGACGGGCGCCTGCTGTTTGTCCAAGTGCTTAGGTTGGACTTGTGGCCGGAGCTGGCGCTTTTGCCCAGTGTTGGTTAAGTGTGAACCTGGGCTGCAGAGGAGCATGGGTGTGTGCATGTGAGAGCATGTGTGTGCATGTATGCGTGTGTGCATGCATGTGTGTGCATGTGTGTGCTTTGCACAGGTGTGTGTACTGGTGCAGCCAGGGGAGAGGCTGCAAAGTAGACCTCTGTGACAGTGTGAGACGGCGTGGGGGTGGGGGTTGGGGTGGTGTGGCTGTGAGTTGGGAGCTGCCCAGGAGGCAGGGGAGCTGCCGGGGGTCGGGGTACAGCTGGGGCTGAGTGAGACCCGAGTTAGAGCCTGTGGGGGGTTCTGGAGAACCTGCTGGGGAGTGGAGAGCCTCACTGGTCTTTCCTAGGGGAGCAAGCTTCTTTCAGAGGCTGGGGGAGCTTCTCTGGGGGCTGAGTGAGGATGGCTGGCCTCAGAGGTGGGGTCCATGCATAAGGTGCCAGGAGGTGACTGGAGAGGCCCAGGGCGGTGGGCCAGTGACCCAGGACAACTGAGAGGTGGGTCCCTGCAGCCGGGGCCCCGGGCCCAGGATCTGGAGAGTGGGCGCAGCCTCCTTCCCCAGCGGCCCTCCTGCCCAGTGCTGCAGGACGGACCTCATGGAGGCCCCCACCCAGAGCCCTGATTGGCTCCCGGCTGCTCCTCTGCTCACTCCGTCAGGCTGTCTATGACCTGGACCTACCTGCCCCAACATGCTTCCTGCGGTCCCCAGCTCTCAGCCTCTCTCCCGCCATCTTTCCCTCAGACACGCCAGGCCTGACTCCGACCGTCTTCCCTGGACGTCCGCTCTGTCCCCTGGCCGTGCAGGTCGTCCTTGTCACTTGGCCCTCAGTCCGACCCCACTTCCTCAGTCCCCTTAAAGTGCACAGTCCTTCCTGCTCCCTCCTGCTCAGAATAGGGACAGCTCGCAGGAGCCAGCGCCACCAGACAGCATCACAGCGACCCCTCGGCAAGCACCAGCCATGCTCTGCTTGCTGGCATCTCGCAGGGCACACACGGTTCCTGTCCCCGTTCACAGACAGGCTCAGCGAGGACTCCCCTGGAACAGCCGCTCTCACTGGCTGGTTCCCAAATCCTTCCTGTGCAAACACCTTGTCTTTCCAACTCAGCTGAGCTCTTTCATGGGGGACACCACCGTCGGTTTCTGAGCCCTGCCAGCCATGCGTGCTATTTGACGTCTGCAAAGAGCCCCACCCCACCCCCATTTGTTGAGCTCAACATAGTCTTGGAGGTCCTGGGGCTTAACTGAGAAGGCCCTAGCCCCATCGCGAGGTGACTGGCTTGAGCCAGGTGGACAGGGAGCCTGGAGCTGAGCCCCAGACCTGGGTGTCTACACTAGCCATCTCACCACTTCTCTGTTCTCTCCTCCACTAGGGAACTCAATGGCAACAACATCACTCGGATCCACAAGAATGACTTTGCGGGGCTCAAGCAGCTGCGGGTGCTGTGAGTATGGGATGTCTCCTGTCCCCACGTCCAGCAGTGGCCTCAGGGATCCTATGGCTGCGGATTGTAGGGTTGTAGGCTGGCCGCCCCCTCTCTTGTAGAGTTGGTCTTGGGACACCCTGAGGTTCTTTTCTAGCTCTCTCTCTGGCAAGTGCATGCACCTTCTGGCCAGGGGAAAAAAAAAAAAAAAAGAAGAGGAGAAAGAGAAGGAAGAGGAGGAACGGGGACTGAGTTCTTTTAGCTGCTCTGAAGGCTTGGGAGTCAGGCCCAGAGGCCAGGCAGAGAGTGTGAGGAGCTGACTGAATTCCTGGCTGGTCAGCCTGGACAGCTGACCCTGGTAGACAGCCTGGGACCCAAGGTCGGACGGCCCCTGAGGGGTTGGGTGAGGTGATGTGAATCAGACCCAGAGTGGCCACTGCCTCCCACATGACTGAGACAATTGGACATGCTGTGGTTCCTAGATTGGATGCACTGGGCTGTCCTGTCCACTGGCTGCATCCCGGGGATGAGGGAAGACCAGGTGGCCATGAAGAAGCTATAGTACTCAGTATCAGTCTGCTTGGGCTGTCATAACAAAATACAGCAGCCCGAGCAGCTTAAACCACAGGAAGGGATTTCCTCACAGTTCTGGAGGGTGGAAGTCCCAGATCAAAGTGTTGGCGGGAAGGTTTCTGGTGAGGCTGTCTCCCTGGCTCGCACACAGCAACTGATTCTGTGTCCTCACATGTCCTTTCCTCTGTGTGTGCAGAGAGAGATCTCTGCATCTCTTCATCTTACAAGGTCACCAGTCCAGTTGGATTAGGGCCACCCCGTTGACCTCATTTCACCTCATTTCACCTCAGTTACCTCCCTAAAGGCCCAAACGTAGTCCCACTGAGGGCCAGGACTTCCACACTGGAATGGTGGGAGGACACAGTTCAGTTTATGCCCATCTCCATGGTTGCCGTGAACCTGTGCCCTAGAAAGACGCCCAGCAAAGCCACAGGTCCTTGACCCGAGAGGGAGGTGAATGGGGCAGTTGAGGACAGAAGTGACTGAGGCAGGTGCCCGAGAGCGGCAGACGCTGCAGGTGGCAGGCGCTGTTCTTTTATATCTGGCTGCTTGCCAGCAACGGGCCCATCTGTGGTACCTGCCTTGCCAGACTGTGAAGGGGTGGGGAGTGAGGGAAAGGGGCAGAGTCTTTCATCCCCCGCTCTGCTGACGGGGAGCAGAGGTGGCTGCGGCATGCATGCCTGCTGAAGCAGGGAGGGCTCGCCCCGAAGCTCAGGTGTGCAGGAAGAACTGCATTTCTTCAGTGCCTCCGCACCAACTCTGTTCTGATTCCGAGCCCTCCCCCGTCCCATCTGCTGACAGGAAGGCCACCACGAGCCAATCGTAGTGTCCCTCACCCCTGCACCTGGGTAGTGTCAGGGTCTCGGGGCCTCAGTTCTTTGAAACTCTCAGCTCTGCAGCTCTGAGGGTCTTCAGGGGAGCTGAGGCCTTGGGGCCAATCCTCTCTGAGACCAGGCTGACAAGCTGCTGGGCAGGGGTCTCTGCTGCTCCAGAACCCACTGACCTCTGACCCTTCCCAGGCTCTGACCCCTTCCGAGTCTAGGGGAAATCCTCCACTCCTTCTCCTGGCCTCTGGTGGAAGCCCTTTGACATCTGAGGCTTCAGGACCATCGAAGCTGAGAAAGAGAAGGTTCTGGTGGCAGCTTCTGCCCCTCATCCTGCCCCCAGTCTTGTCCGAGGCCCATAGAGGGGCACATAGCCCCTGTCTGAGAGTGTGGGGAAGCAGACGTGACTCTTGGGAATCAGTGCAAAATGCTCCTGCCCCCGGCCCCAGCCAGACGTGGAGGGTGTCAGGGCTCGCTGGCCGTGAGAAGACACGAAGTCCCGTGCCTGCAGCCAGGTGGCTCAGTTGGCATGGGCCCCCACACTTCTCTGTGGCAGATGGGACCAGGCGGCATGGGGGTGCAGGCAGAGGGGTGCTGTCTGCCAACTGCACAGTGTGTGGGCTCTGGCTTCCCTCCTTGAGACTGCCTGGTCCCCTGCTGTGCCCCTTGGACATTGCCCTCCAGGCCCAAGGAGGGCAGGGGCACCAGCAGCCCAGAACCAGACAGGGCCACCTGCGGGCTCTGGGTCCCTTCGAGCTGCCTTCTGAAGAGTGCCCTGGTATGTGGTCCCCTCGGCTGCTGCCACAGCAGGTGGCTTCAGAGGGGTCAGACTGAGGCTGGGCCGCAGCACACCTCACCGTCGGGGTCTGCAAGGACTTGAGGCATCTGTCCACGCAGGCACGGACGTGGGCCTGTGCGTGGCTCGGCCGGCTCCTGTCTAGCCCCCTTGCTAGTGCTGCCCTAGCAGAGTCCCGCTTGGCCCTTCCCTCGTGCCGACTGTTCCAGGGCCCCTGTCCGACACCCTGTCTCTGTCCTCTCACTTTGCTTCCGCAGGCAGCTGATGGAGAACCAGATTGCAGCGGTGGAACGGGGGGCTTTCGATGACATGAAGGAGCTGGAGCGGCTGTGAGTGTCCTCGGGGTGCGGGCTCGGGAGGGCAGTGGGGCCGGCCCGGAGGGTCCCAGCAGGCCACGCTCCTGACGGAGCAGCGGGTGCTCTGGAGAGGGGACCCTGCTCCCAGCCTGCCTCCACCTGCTGGTGGATCTGGGCCAGCTGCCGCAGAGGGAGTCCCAGGGCATGATGGGATGGCAGCAGAGAGCCCTGGGGTGTCTCCCGCCCACCCGTTCTCAGTGCAGCTCTCGTTGTTGTGCGTCCCTGAAAATACGTGATGGCAAAAACTCACACGATCCAGAGGAAGCGAAATTGCTTCCGTGACCTCGTCCCAAGGTGTAGTCACTGTTCAAGTGGACCCGGCAGGGCGCTCTGGGGCTGGGGCCCTGACACGGAAACTGGAAGGTGGTGGCATGTCCTGAGTTGTGTGGTCTGTGCCTTAGTGGGGTTTCTGAGTGTGAAGATGACCCTGCTCAGCTTTTGCGTCGCAGATGGGCAGCGATGGGGAAGACCTGGCATGGGCACTGGGGTTCACAAAGACCCTGGTCCTGTCCTCCTGCAAAGCGGGCTGGCCACAGACGCCAAGAGCCCCAAGTTCACACTCGGAAGCAGAGAGTTCACTTTATTTTGAGGAAATAATCCGAGACATAGTTAGAAAATTATGTATCAGGAATAGTCACTGCACACTATTTACAAACCAAAAAAACCAGGAACAGTCGGCCTGGTGGAGACATAAGGCATAAATCACATTGTTTGTTTTTGGTTTTACTTTTGAGAGATTTTTGTTGTTGGGCGCATGTGCTCACCAGAGAGACAGAGAGATAGAAAGCGAGAAATCACCCCTGAGAGCGACGGACCTGCTGCAGTCCCTTCTCCTCCACTCTCCTCTCAGATTCTGGGCACGCACACACATGTGCCTGGTGTGAGTTTTAGGCAGCTGGGTCTGGGACTCAAACTGCGGCCAGCCATATGGGAGGCCAGTGCCTTAACCACCACACCACCTACTGGCCCTGTAAGTCACATTTCTGAGGAACAGTTAAGGCCATGAGAATGTGCTGACCATCTAATAGTAAGTGGAAAAGGCAGGAAGTGACATTTATGTAAATAAAATCAACTTCTCTCAGATAAGATAAGGAGGGGAAAGGGTCGAGACTGTGAACTCTTACTCTAGTGAGCGGTGGGACGAGAGGGAGTTCTGCCGTGACTGCTGTGCTTTCTAAGTAGATCTTCTTACAGGGTTTATAACTGTCATTGTCGCCACGCCTTCACTGATGGCAGGCGACGTCAGCGCTCTATAACCCTTAAAGCAAGGCCGCCGGAAGTGGTGTCTCACAGATGCGCAGTGGCGTGCACAGAGGCTGAGGGACTTGCCTGCAGTCGTGCAGAAGGGGAGATTAGAACCCAGATCATCTTGCCTTTCAAGCTGAGCTCTTAATGACGATGACCTAACGTCCCGCCTCTCGCTTTTCTATTTAATAAGGCCTTAAATAAAGGGGAGGGGCTGCGGCTGTGTCCCTGCGCCTGGGCAGCCTGGGAGCACATCAGGCAGTTTCCCTCTTGCGTGTCCCCCACCCAGGTCTAGCGTGAGTGACAGGAGCCCACAGCTGGGCCAGATGCTTCCTCCCTGGTTGGTTCTCTTTGAAAGGCTTAGAGCAGAACACGTTAGTATTCATAATAGTAAAATGAAAGCCCTGGGCCGGGGGTTGGGCCTAATCCAGGCCGGCCCTAACTCTGCTGCTGCACCCCAGGGAGGAAGAGAGTTAGGAGGCGGGGTTCCAGGCAATACCAGGGTGGCCTCCGTCATGCCTGCTGCAGCCACCAAGCCTGGCAGGGTCCCCCTTGGTGAGCCATAACTCGTCACTGCAGCTGTCCCTCTGTCCGTCTGGGTTTCTCCCTGCTGGGTGGGTCACCAGCAGCCTCAGGGTGGGAAGTTACTCTCGGACACGGGATTGTCCTGACCATGTGCGTGCTCACTGCTGGCACCCATGCAGGTGGGCAGCCCAGCCGCCCTCGGACTGCAGGCTCCTGTGGCGAGGCAGTCAGTCATCAAAGAAGATGAGACGTCTTCTGAAAATTCATGGAAAATGTGTATTATGAAAAATCATGCCTGGGCTTCAGTTTTTTTTTTTTTTCACACACAAAAAACTCATGCTTTAATCCCAGTTTCCACCAAAAAAAAAATTCTTTTTTATGATAAAAAAGAGAGAGAGTCCCCTGTTGGCCCTCTGCTCCTCAGGAGCCTGGGCGCCCGCACTCGTGAGTGAGCACCCACACGTGTGGGAGCTGCCCTGAGGGACTGTCGGCCGCCGGGCTCCCGACCCTGCAGGCCGCTGCACTGCCAGCGTGTGCCAGTGCTGGGCCTTTCCATGAGCTGTCCGAAGCCTCCTCCATGTGTATCCCTAAATATTTGCACGCACTCACCTCCTCCCTTGCCTCTTAAGAAATCTTGCGGTAGGGCATGTATGCTTGGCAGAGAGAGCGCGAGCGAGAGGAAGGGAGAAGACACACCAGGGACGGCCATGCTGCCATCCCTCCCCCTGCATTTCGGGAGGGATCACTCGTGGGATTTTGAGCACGCATGCACATGCACCTAGCATGTTTTTCAAGCTGCTGGGTGCAGGACTTGAACCACAGTCAGCCGTGGGGATCCACCTGCCTTAACCTCCATTCCGTGGCTGGCCTGCGAAGGCTTTTTAGTAGGAAATACTGACTAGAGTCCTGTATTGTTTTCCTCACCTATACTTTGTTTATGACTTTTGATTTTGGGTTCTTGAAGGCGTAATGAGATTTTTCAAAAGGTTCTTGGAAGCAATCTGGGTGGAGAATTCTGGATTTTTTAAAATGACACCCTTACCTTTTTTCTTTTTATTTATTTAATTCAACAGCTTTTTAATTAGCACTTTTCCTTTCGTTGAAGCTTTCCAAAGCCTCAACTTCGTTTTCATAGAGACAGCAATTCTTCACCACAAGCACCTCACTCGCTGAGGCAGTTAGTTCAGTTGTCATTTTAATTGCCAGCTCTTCTGGCATGACAGCTTGGGAAGGGACATGCTGGCTCTTGGAGCATGGGGTGGTGAAAGATTGGGGTCCATGGCGTCCACGGCTGTGGAAGGACAGGCGTGTGCGCAGTCACGTGAGCCAGTGGAGAGGAGCCGGTGCTGCAGGACTGCCTAGACGGGCAGTAGGTGGACAGCTCCCGGTCCACCACTCCGCAATGACTTGGGCGAGGCGCTCGCCTCTCGCCATCCCAATTCCCTCTTCTATCCAAGAGGGATGACCTGACGTCGTCAACAGACATTACGGGTACCCAGTAAGAGCCAGATCATGTGACAAGAGGTGGCAGTTCAGGCTCCCCAGTGGGGTCGCACGTGTGATGGGAAGCTCTGCTACCATGTTCGAGAGGGAGAAGCCGCCTCCCCCTGCGGCCCCTCTGCAGGGAGCGCATGCCTGCTAAGCATCGCCACGGTGCCTGGCACACGGTAAGGCCTGGGACCCCCGACCGCAGCCCACGCCTGCTGCTCCGTGTCGCCTGCACCTTCCTCGCCCCGCCAGTCCCTTCCATTAGAGCGCTTTGATTTTCCACGTCCAGCTAGGCATCAAATCCTTTCCCTTCTAAATGCGTGTCAGAAACTGAAGCCAGGAAAGTGAGAAGGTCTTGGGGGAAGACAAAACCAGAGACCAGTGGCTCCCAGGCAGCCAAGTGTGGGATTGACTTACTGGGCCACTGAGGGGAAGGGACGCGCAGGTTGCTCTGAGGGTTAGGTGGGCGGCCCCGTCTCCAAGGCAGCCATGTGTGGTCAGGAGTGCTCCTGAAAGCACACCTCTCCCAGCTGCTCTCCTGGAGGTGCGGGTCTCGTGGTCTGGGCTCTGCCGGGACGTGGCGGTCCCCACCGAGGCAGCGACGACCTTTCGCACACGTCAGGTGGAGGATGACCTTCTGGGGGGCCTCGCAGACCAGTCGCTGCTGAATACCCAGAGCGGGGTTTCTTCCTTTCTCTGCAGAGGCTGTCCTTGGTTTATCTTAGTCTGTTAAAGAGCCATTGAGGTCCCCTCTCACAGGAGAGGGGACTTCCTGCTGTGGAGGAAGGTGTGCCGCTGCCTTGTAACCACAGAGGCTCGTGCAGGGAGGGGTGCGGGGAGGGATG